ACACCACCCTGAGCTGGCGTTTCCCATCCCTGCTGCGGGAATAGCATCTCCGTCATCACCGGCATGCTGCAGGGATTCAGCGCGCCCAGGGCGTGCTCTGCTATCACGGGAACAAGAGGAGGGACGTACGGCGAAAGAGCTGCCGGGCACCGGGGCCACCGTGCTGGATACACCATGCCCAGGGCAAAGCCCTGTCCCGCGCCCTTGCAGGCTCCTCTCACCGCCCCATCACATGCAAGGAGGCAACGGCTTTTATTAATGCCAATTTATTTCCCCCGTCCCAACCATTTATAAAAGAAATTGCCAGGAGACACAGGCTTGAAGCACGCTTGAGCTGGGGATGAGGCACTTGATACAGTTCCAGCCAGCTACAGCAACGCAGACCAACCCGTAAAAACAGGAACGCACGCTTCGAAGATGTGGGAGGTGCTCGGCCTCTGTCCCTTACAGCCCTTGCCACAGCAGAAAAGAAACACGGCATTTTGGTAGGGCGTTTTGGGGAGGTCTGTGAACATCTCAGCATCTCCTCTCGTAACACCCTCCCTCCTTTCACCTTCATTCCCACAGTCATCACTATCACCAGGTGTCCATCCGAGGGTGGTTTGAGTCAAACCCTTGGTTTGAGAGTCAAAGCACCGGTCAGTCGAAGCTACTCATCACTGCAGAACAGACGACAAAAAAATGTAACATCACCATCCAATTAGTTTCTTTCCATCTCTCCTACTTCTACTCCTCCGAAACTCCCACCTTTAGAAACCAAACTACAAGGAGCCAGTGACGCCAACCCAAAGCAAGTCACCGGCAGGGAGCTGCCGGCTCGCGGGACGCAGGAGGTGACAGGTCCCCTCTGGAGAGAGTCTCAGCCACTGAGCTGAGGCCATCCAGCTCAACAACAACAACAAAAAAAAAGGCGAGGGGGTTAAAGACATGCCCCTTCCAGTAAAATTCCTACTCTTACAAGAGAAATGCCAAAGCCTAAAAATCAAGTGCATTCTCATCCCCTTCCTCCAAACACAGCTGTGACATGGAAAACACTGTGATACCCAGGGTAAAACTGGAAAAACAAAATCCCAACATCTCTTCCTTCCCACAGGAACCGATTTTTTCCCCTTCCCCTTCTCAAGCACTTCAAGAGCCGGGCCTTCGGAAGCAAATGTTCAGAGAGCTTTAAAAACTATTTCCCGTCCATTGCCTGTAAGAATGCCCACGGCACATCCTGCAATTGTGGGACGCTGAACCCGGGCTGGAAAGAGGAGCTGGGAGCTGTTGCTTAGGAGGATAATTACGGGATCCGGTAACGCCAGTGACAGGCAAGCGGCTCGTTTCCCACCTCCCGTTAGTGCTGGCAGCAGAAGGGGCACGCTGCAAGCCCTGTACCGCAGAACGTCTTCAGTCCACTGCAAAGGCGAAACCAAGAGTCCCTGCACAGCTGCTCTTCTAGAAACAAGCCTAAAAATTCAGATACCCGCATGGAAAACCGCTTTTCCATGGCTGGAACATCAGCGTCTTTTCTAAACCAAATTTGCTTTCAGGGCTGTCAAGAACGACAACAGCTTAAAACGCAGGTTTTCAATGGGGTTTTTTAGCCACGGGATAGGAACAAGCTGGGATTTCCACAGTTAAGTAAAATAAACACTCTCCAAAAACACTGAAGTGTAACAAAATCTGAACAGAACCACCCCAGCTCCCCGCCGCCATGCTATTTTCACCCCCAAAGAGGAAACAGCTACAGCTGAGCACAGTTGTAAGGTTATTTAAGGAGAATTTTACCGGGCAAGGAGGTGGACAAGAGCTTTCCAAGAGCAGCCACCTCTTATCAGCTGCTGCGACAAGGCAGCAGAAAGCCGGCAGCAGGTTTTGTCCCACAGGCAGCCAGATGGAAAGGGCTTGAGGAGAGCCACAAGGTAATTGGGCTTTGCAAAAAGACCCGAATCCTTAGAACAATCATTCGCTGGGAGGAAAAAAATAACAAAGATGGATCGCCCTCGGCTCTAGAAACCTTGAATTCAAGGGAGACGCTTGTCCCTAGGCAGGTCACCCCTGTACCCAGCACGGGAAAAGAGCATCTCTCTATCCCCCGCTCCAGAACACCCCGTGGAGACACCCTGAGCCACAGGTCAGCATCTCCTCCGTCGATCTGCAGTTACAGCGTGCCAGATTCATCATTCACAAGCCCTTCAAAAAACACCAGAAACTTGAGTCTGTGCATTGAGACATCATCTGCGCATTGAGACACGCTGGCTGCTAGTCCAGCCCCACCCTCCTCTCAATACATCTTCTCCAACACGTCTTCTCCAACGCAGAAATCTGGTGGCCTTTTAGCATCCTAAAGAGAATGAGCAATCATTAACTTCCCAGTGGGCAAATCCCATGAACAAGAAAAAAAATAAAAAAATAAAAAAAAGAATCACTCCCCACAGGCCATGCCACTGATCAGGTCAAGAGGTAAATGGGGATTGAAATGAAGTTACCATGTGCTGGAGGATATTCCCCCTGCAGAGGCTGGCTGGCTGAACGGGGAAAAGCGGTAGCCCCATTGCGATCGGGGAACGACAGCGTGAGAAGCTGCATCAGCACTGCCCTCTTCCCTCGTAACAGACGGCAGGTAGACAAGTTACAGTCAGCAATTCGCGGCTCTCGCTTGTCGGTATTTTCCCCCTCAAGAAAAAAAAAAAAAAAATTAAAAAAAATCCTTCCTTAGGCTGGAGTTCAAAGCAGGGAAAAAAGCTCTCGGAAAAACCTGCTTCCTCCACACATCTGGGAGAGCAACATGAAGAATTCAGCTGAGCTCAGCACACTTTCACGTACCTTTCTCACATGACTGAGGATGGCTATTTTTATTTAAAACAAACTTCAGAGCAAAATGCACGTTATAAAACCAGGAAAAAACGCAGCTGTACAAACCCCTGGGAGCAGGCATCTGCAGACAACTGCTGTGCTCGCACACGAGCCACACAAATTGCACCAAAACCCAGCGCTTTTCTTCAGGCACCGCTGCGAAAACACTGATTAGAAATGAAGATCCTCAGTTTTCAGCCATCCTGGTTTTAACCTGTGTGTTGCTGGTGCAGCCTGAATAATTGTGCTCAGCTTTGTGGTAAACTCACTGCAACCAAAGAGCAGCCCTGAAAGGGAGAAATCTTTACCCTCCGACTTTACTATCTTGAAGAACGATGTTTTAAATACCCAATCTTGAATAAACGGATCCAAAAAGATAGGGCTGCTCTTGGTTTTCGTCTAGGCCAGGTACATGCAAGGGATGAGCAAGTTCATACAAGACTTAACAGGGTTTATCAAGGACTAGCAACTTTCAACTTGTGCAAACCCCATTCAGCCAAAACCCTGCTCTCCTTCAAGCAGCACAAGTACCAATATCCAGATAATTAGTGAGTTCCACTGAGCTCCTTCTCCTCCCTCTTGTCAACCTCTCCCCCCATAAATTAAATGCAAAATCACTTAAATGCAGTGTTAGAGAACATCAGTTTAAATGCGTAAAGGGTCAATTATGTATAAAGACAAAGATACTACATCAAATTAATTAACCTGAAGAGACAGTGCTTTGTGCAAAACAACATTCTCATGTCTGGTTGAAAAGGCTTCTGAAGACGAGTGGTTTCTTCATTTCCCTTTGTCAGTGGTATGAGCAAAGCTTGTACAACATGCAAGAAAGGGGAAGAGATCATTTCCCAATAACACACGGGAAACACACGACATGATGAGTCCTTGACATTCACAACCGAGACAGAAACTCCATCTGGATTTCAACTGAACCGGTCTCAACCCCAAAGTAAATCCGTTTCGATGTCCTTTTTCTTTAGCTAGACTGCCACACCATCACGCCACAGCATTTTTTGTGGTTTCGATGGAAAACACGAGCGAGTCTCTGCAGCCTACCAACAGGCACCATCGATCTCATCCCCAGTTGCAGGCGAGCTGTCGACATTCAGCGTCCTCGCCCCGTTCGGCTCTGCCGGTCAAACGCTGATCAGCGGAGACAGTGCAGACCCAGGAGACGCGTCTTCCAAGCAGGCACCAGGGCAGCTCATTCCCTGCGTTTCCGGTGCCGTAATGTTTATATGCAGCATACTGGATGATATTCACGGTGCAACAAAGCAGTCTTGTTCGGAATAGTTACTGGAACACCATCATATTGCCACGACCGCAGTTCACTGGTCCGTCGGTCCCACCCCAGTCACTACCAAAAGGCTACCCTATGGCGAGTGGATGGTGGAAGACGCGACTGTGACGAGCTAGGCTGGTCTTTGCTTTGCTCCCTTCACAAGAAGAGCAAGGGATCTCTCTTCCACGGGGGCTGGAAAAGGGTGTTTCAGAGCTGCTCTCCTCCCATCAGTGACCTGGAGCATTTTGCGGGAGGCATAACCATGTGCCAGCAGTGCGCGGCGGCAAGGAAAGCGTGCAGTTAGCACGAGGCTGATACAGACACTGATGAGTAATAAAATTCTAGAAGAAACAGGACAGGCTAGTATAGCATAAAATGATACCCACCATAATTAAAGCATTCGAAAGAAGCTTAAATCACAAATACATTCTGTTAATCTCTAAGACATCTAAACATGTACTCTTTTCAGCGACTCTTGTCTTAGAAGGTATAAACTCGTGACGGGGAAGGGGGGAAAAACCCAAATGTTTTTTAAAAGTTTATTTCTAGCCCTGAAAGAACAGTTATTAAACAAAGTCAACAAATACAGTAGTTAATATTGCAGTAACAATTAAATAACATAATGGGATTAAATTACACAAAAGGCAACATTAAAATCTGAAGACAGTTAAAAAAATAAAAAGAAAGCTTGCACCTACTTCCACTTCCATTGACAGCGTGAGGAACAGAGGGGAAAAACAGATCAGACATTTATTTATTCAACTCCAGCTGGAGAGACCATTAACAACGTTCTTGCTCCCTCCCCAGCCCACCCACCATCCCGTCTGACAAAGGGACCCAGCCTCCAGCCCCACCTTTGCACCCCCCTGCGCCAGAGAGCTGGGGGGAAGCCTACAATTAGTCTCGTTAACACCTAAGGCAGGTCAAAGTGCACATTCCCAGCGCCATGGTTGCTTTGAATGAGAAGTCCTGTTTATCCTACGGTAACAAGAGTATCCCAGGAGTCACACGTTCCCTGCACACTTGCACCTCAGCCGCAAGCTGCCCAGCTCCATACACCCAACTAACCGCACCACCGTACGTTACACTTCATACGTTATCGCACGCGTACTTGATCCTGACTCAGGATCTTACGCTGGCACCCGAGAGCGAGCGAGACGTATGGGAGTCCCAGCACTTCCAGATGCAGTCCTTCCCTTATCATCATCTACTCAAACTCCGGCTGGTCTCCATCTGTCAGCCCTAGAGATACAGCAGAGTTGAACAGCCCTTAAAGGGATGTCTTAAGGACATTAATCTGCTCCCATCAGGGAAAACAAACACAAAACCAAAAACAAAAAAAACCCAATACACAGCTTGCATTTCTTAATCCTCCAGACTCATCCAGCTGACATCGTTAGAAAAGCGATGCCCGACCCACTAAGACACAAAAGCACAGCGTGGCAACCTTCTCGTGGCTCTCCTCTTCTGCCAGCTCCATCTCTGACCCTAATTTCTGGCAGCGGGGGAGTGAGAAACCTCACCACGTAACAACAAAGCTGCTGGATGGGGAAGCGGAGACATGGACTTCTCAACCTCAGAGCTAAACACCTTTCCAGGTCACACAGAAAGTGCCGAAATACGTTTTGGTAACTTCTGGATTGGGCCAATTTTGTGTGCTAAGATGGCTGAAAGTTTGGAAATCACCTCCTAAAGTAAACTAAATTGGACAAATTTTGTAATACATGTTTTAAACCATTCTCATTCATCAATAAAAGTGAACTAATAAGTTAAAATTACCTATGATTTCTTGTTTTTCTATTTTAAAAAGATTAAATTTATCGCAAGTTATCTTACTGTCTAGATTGTGCCATCAAAAAAGAAAGAAAAAAAATAAAGAAAAGCTCCCAGTTTAACTCTGGCACAAGGAGTTTCACAAAGTCCATTGCCAGCAACGGACAAAGAAAGAATCATCAGTAAAACGGGTTGTTTTTCTCAGCCAAGCATCCTCACTACTCATTTGATCAGGGAGCCAGACACGCTCAAACCGGGGGCATCGCCGTTACAGTGTTTAGTGCCCATGGCTTCTAATACACATTGCCTGGGAAATGCATCTAGATTTACTTGCCTGGAACGAGACAGTTCCTCGAATTTAAAACCATAGCTATTCTTACACTTAGAACGAGAGGGATTTACTCCTTTGATGAAGCAGTTAACATAATTTATCCAACGTACATTTTTACCACCGCCTAAGAGCAGAATGCAAGCTGAACCACGACACTGCAGTGCCCTGCACAACGAGGCGTCTTGTTGGTACCACGCCATTTCTGAGAAACCAGTGAGTCACAGCAGGCACTGCGAGACCGTAGCCCCGCTTTCCCTCCATCGTCAACACAAAGAGCCTCCGCTGTTCTGGCCGGCCGCTCTCAGCTGGAAGTTGGTTTTGTCATACCTTGGCCACCAGTCCCCAAAACATAATTATCTCTATCACTATACAAATACCAAAATTTTCTGAAAATCACTTCTATCTTCTGCCAGCAATGTTTGTAAAAGTGTGCAAAAAAGTTTTATTCAGGGTCCTCCGTCCCTACCCAGTCATAATCCTATCTCTGTCCCAGGTCCCGCCCCACTGGGAACGCAATAAAAACCCACTAAAGTAATGGTTATTCTTTCACAGAATCGTTTGGCACGTTGTAACTACAGTTGGCTCTTCGTCAAACTGCTGGGGAAGTTGAAATGCATAGACTGTAGCGCTAGAAGAAGCCGGAGCACAGGCTCTTCTACACTTGCCCCTGGTAACACCCCAAGAACTCAACCGCTCAAGTTGCCCGCTGTCCTTCAGAGGGAGGCACTTTTTCTTGCATTGAATGTTTGACTTCAGCCTTTCTAGCTGGTACGAGGCCTTTAGTGAGAAAGGATCGGTGTGACACATCACGTCTCCTCAGCCTCGAACTAGCTGGTCAAATAAGCCCCATGGATGTCTGACGGCACTGTTCTCCCTTCTCAGCTTTCGTCTTCTCAGAACAGCGCTTTGGCGTTTCCAGGTGTTCATAATCTTCTGTGTGAATCACATTTAAAAAATTCTGTATCTTCAGTGTCCTCAAATCTGATTATTTGTTCTTCTGATTTCATTAGTACAAATGGAGCACGTACAAAATTGGAAAAAATAGCTCTAATACTTAAACTCTGACAACTCCGTAGGTTGATGCATTATTTGCTTGGGGAAAAAAAATTACAACATATACAAAAATGTATTTGATACAAAGAAGGGAAATGTAAAATAAAAAAAGTCAAAGGCACCAGCATAACTTCCAAAGCCCAAATCAGAGCACAGATACAATACATGTTTTTGAACCACCCACAGCACCAAGCACATTATCCCTTAAGCTTCTGGCCAGCAAGTCTAATGGGGAAAAAAAGAGCAGACAGGAAGACAGCTGGAATTTTTTTCTTGCCCTGACTATAGCTGATCATTTGATCATAAATAAAGTATCTGACCCCTACCTACATATCCATAAACCGACATCCAAAGACTTGACCAATCATTAAGTTTCTACAAAGAGGCCACATCTCTGATTAAAAGTCCACAGAGCACAGGCGTATGAGAAATAGCTGAATACTTCTCTTCCCCTTCTCTCCATATTCATCTTAAAAGGCAAAAAATATCACAATACATAATGATTTCTTAAGTAGCCAGTTGTCAATTCTACAGTACAGTAACAGCTAATCCGTCAAAGAAATGAGGGGCAAGATGTACCTTCACATTTGTCACACTTGCCGTGAATCTGGTCATATGGGAGCTTACTAGAGCGATTTAAAAGTAAACAGGTAGAGGGGAGGAAGAGGAGAGTGAAAGAGATCAGCAGGTAAAATTAGTACTGCTCTCTGAAAGCTTGAATCTGTCATTCAAGTATTGAAAGTACCCAGATGGGTACAATGAATGGGAGCTGTTACAGCAAAGTCGTTAAAAACCCTTAAAACCCCGGGCACAGTAAGTGGCATTTCTAGGCTGTCTGGAGAAAAAAAAAAAAAAAAAAAAAAAAAAAAAAAAAAAAAAAAAAAAAAAAAAAAGGCCAGTAATTCAGTCCTCAATTCCTTCTGGACCCCAGACAGGGATCGCGAAAGTCACCACAAATTATTTTGAGTGTCTTCTGGATGAGAGTTTCTTCCCTTTTGCAGACGTTTCCCCCCCCCCGAATCCCTTCCCTCCCCCCAGAAGTGTAACAATTTCATATATTATAAAGATTTGTAAAATACAAACAAACAAAAAAAAAAGGATGAAGGCTGTGGCAGTAATGTTAGCGGTTACTCTTCATTGCTTCTTTGGCTGCCAAGATCAGCGGCGTCAAGCTAGACAGAGGTTTGGCCAGTTTCAAGAAGGGATGCTGCCAGGAAAAGAGAAACACAGTAAATTAGTGAGAGACACTGTTTAAGAAGCCAGTAAAAGCCAGATATCTACACAGCCCTTTTCACCCTGAGGTATGAAGAGCAATGCAAATGCTATCAATGCCCAGCTCCTGAAGGGACAGGTCCAGAGCACCTCAAGCCATTCCTCCTCACCCCAAAAGTGCCTAGGCCTTTCCTTTTCTAGTAATTCACTACAAAGAGGTTTGCTGCTCAAACATCTTCTCTCAGTCCCATTCTGCTCACTTCAATGGCTCTATTACAGTAAGTTTCTAAATTGCTGGATGCTTGAGCAGTGGTGGAACGAAGGCACAGATTCCTGATCGGAAG